GTTTCAGCGAGCAGGGTTGTGTGCTAGAGCAGGCAAAACCCCCTCTGGCTCTCATTGCCTCCTACGCCCTTGCTCCCTGTCAAAACACTGGACTTCTTGGGTTGGAGCATCTGTATCTGAACTTCCTTCCCTGCTTCCTAAACGGGAAGCAGACAAGGGCCTCAAACTCCTCTTTCCTTTCTGACATTGACACTTGTCTTGTTTGGAGTCCATGACTTGCAGCGGGTTTGAGAGATACTGCTGTATACCTTAGAGTTGATTCTGACTCACAGCAACCCTTTTATGGAATGGTGTCCCCCAGAAAAGTGTGGTGTACTAGCTGTGGTACTAACCCACCTGGAACCCCAACTGTGGTTCTAAACTCATCTGGAAATGAGTTTTCTCCTATTAGGTTCAAGTGACGAGTGTACGTTAAAATAAGCCTTGTTTGAGATACAGAAGAGCAGTCGAAGCAGGCAGGGATGGGGAACGTGCAAGCCACACACAGCCAAGGAAGCAAGAAACAGAAGCTGGAGAGACACAAGGACTTAGCCCCACAGGGGGGCTGGGGGATCCTTCACCCTAGAACCAGTGCCCTAAATTTGGTTTTCTAGCTTCCTGAACTCGGAGAAAATAGATTTGTGTTTGTTAAAGCCACCCACTGGGGTATTTCTGTTACTGCAGCCCTTGCCAAGACAATGACTTCATGTGATAGAAAACAGACCCAACAGGGCTTCCTGGGTTATCATCTTTATGGGAGCACTTTGCCAAGTCTCCCCCCACAGAGCAGCCGACTTTCTGGTTAACAACGCAACACTTCTCCGCTGCATCCCCACGCCGCCTTCCTTCAGGTATACAAGCCCCTTCTAACAAGTCAGTTCTACTCTCAGCAACTCCCCAGAGGGCTTCCAGGGTTGTAAATCTTTATAGGAGATGGCCCCTCCTTTCCTCACTGGCCCCTCCTTTCCTCAGTTAGTGGCTGGTGGATTTGAACTGCTGACTTTTAGGTTAGCATAACATGTAAAGCATCCTGTTACCAGAGCTCCTTTCCTTCTGGAATAGGGGTTACGACTGCAAGGCTTTTTTTTTTCTGGGGACACAGTTGAGAGAGGGGGAGCATGAAATGAGAGCAACTGTTGGGGCAGTGCTGAGGGGGCAGGAAGGAGGTCAGTGGCCCCTCCAGGGCCTGGCTTTGACCCAGGGGCTGCCGGTTCTCTGAGCTCCTCCTCAATCTCCTACTCTCTTTGGTCGTCCCCCTCCCAGTCACCCTCACCCCTTCCCCTCCTCACCCCTTCCTGGCCCTCCTGTCTTCCCCCTCCCAACTCCATCTCCTTTCCTTCCTTCTCACCGCTCCCCACCCTCTGCGTCCCTCCGCCTCTTCCCCCCACCCCCCTTCGCCCCCTTGAGGCCCTCTTCCTCCTCCTGACACCCTCTCTTTCCTCCCCACTTCCAGCCTTCCTTACTTCTCCCCTCCACATCCTTCTCCAGGCCCTCCTCATTCTTCTTCCTCTCCACCCTCCTCACCCCTGCCCACACTCTAAGCCCCTGCTCCATCTTTATTCCTCCTGGTCCCCTCTTCACTTCTAAGCTCCTCCTCCCCTCATCTCCATCCCTCCTTCACAGTCCTCTCCCGGGCTTCCCCTCCCTTGCTCACCCCTCCCGGGCCCTCCCATCCCTTAATTTTCTTCCCCACTTGGTACCTCTCTCACACTGCGGCCCCATGAAGCCATACACACAGGCACAGAGGTTGGGCCCCACACAGCGGCCCCTGTTGTGACAGCCTCTGTCACAGACAGCTGTGAAGGGGGAGTAAGGAGAGGCATAAGGTCTCCAAACATCCCAGGGAGCTGGCCCAGCCCCAACCAGAATGTGATGAGATATCCCCCAGCCCCAGTCCCAGGGAGTCCCATGGGCAGCTACAGGGGTGTGCACTGATGGGCGGGCCCGGGGGTACTCACGCTGCCCACACACAGTACCCACGTAGCCCCTCTGGCACAGGCAGGACTCCCCCCTACAGCTGCCCCCGTTCATGCAGCTCACACTGCACCCGACTCCTGGGGTCAGGGACACACAGTCAAGTGGTTGTCAGGAACCAGCCCAGGCCTCTGTGGCATCCAGAGGCCTGGCACCTTCTTCTCCCACACCCCACAGCCACTCACCTTGGCTGCCCCCACAGCTGGGGGCCAGCGTGCCATCCAAACAGGTGCACAGGTTGGGCCTGGAGCAGAAGCCCTTGCCACAGGAGTGGCGGCAAAGGGCTGCAAGTGCAGAGCAGGGGCGTTAGCTGGGCCCAGGGACTCCACTCTGTGCCTGCTCCATGGGGCCCAGGTCAGCCGTGGACAGCTCCAGGACCACCCCTGCTCTGCACCCCGAATGCCTGTTGCATGTGGGCTGTCCCCTGACTCTCACTCTACACAGGACAGATGGTCAGACCCAGGCTGTGGCTCCAGGAGGGAGGTGACCTGGGACTGCACTGCAGACCCACAGGCTGGAGGCTCTGGGTGGGTGGGGGGAGCCAGGCCACTAGTACAGGAGCTGGAGGTTCTGGGTGGGTCGGCGGCACCAGGCTTCCAGGGAGTTGATCGCAGAGAGAGGGGGAGGGACTTGTAAGGCAAAGGAAGCAAAAATGGCCTGGGAGCCTGGGACAGAGGCAGAAGCCATGATCGAGATTCAGCATCCTCTGGGCCCCAGCTGTGTACACTTCATAACTAGTTGGTAAGGCAGTGGCAAAACTCTCACCTTCCCCGTGGCAGACCCAGGTTCGAATCCCAGCCAGTCCATCTCATGAGCACCTATCTGTTAGTAGAGGTGCATGTGCCTCTAGTTTGTTGGATGTATCAAAGGAACTTCCTGACTAAGATAGACCAGGAAGAATTGCCTGTCTATCTACTTCTGAAAACCAGCCAATGAAAAGCCATGGGTCACTATGGTTCAATCCGTAACAGACCCTGGGGCTGGGGCTGGGGTAGAACTGGGCAAAGGCTGCTCCCATCACAAAGGGCGAGAAAGGCAGGGGAGACTGTGTGTGTGTGTGTGTGTGTGTGTGTGTGTGTGTGTGCAGAAGGGGTAAAAGAACTTTCTAGACTTTCTGCTCAATTTTTCTATAAGCCTAAAACTGCTCTATCAAAGAAAAACAAAGTCTATTTAAAAAAAAAGGAAACAGAATTTGGCAGCAGGTAAGACAGGCAGTCAGCCATGTCCCCTCCCCATGCCCCCACCTCTAGGGCACTCACGCATGACACATCGGTTCCCTCCGGGCAGCGTCCTCCAGCCGGGACAGCAGTAGGCGTGGAAGCGAGAGCCACACACATTCGGCCTTCAGGAGGGCACGCAGGAGGTGAGACCCTGACCTGGTCATGCCCTCCCCCAGGACAGCCCAGCCAACTGTTTCCCCCAGGAGCGTGTATGGGTTTAGGGAACCACGCACCCCTGCAGGACACCTGGGCTGCCTCGCCTCCGCACCCTTCCAGGAACTGGCAATTCTGCAGCCCCGTCCCAGCGACCCTGGCCACTTGCTATGCTGGACAGTGCTATCCAGGCCAGCAGGAGCCAAGGCAGGGGATTCTGAGCCATTGTGAGGGGACCAGTCCCTCTCTTCGCCAAGCACAGCCCTCTTGGAGCCAGGCTGTGTCTTTGGGGGCTGCGGGAAGGAAGTGGGCATCAGCATGAGGCAAAGCCAGCCTCAGAGAGGCCCTGGCCACTAGGCAGAACCAGAAGCAAGGAGATGCTGGCTGCAAGGGGGAAGTCCAGGGTCTGGAGCAGCTTAGGGAGGCACCATTCCTGACCTGAGCACAGTCGAAAAATCCAAGGAGGCTTCCTGGAGGAGGTGTGATGTCTCAAAGATAGAGTCAGCAAGGAGAAGATGATGGGCCAGAGGGGACAATGAAAGCAGCTGCTAAGTGCTGAGTGGAGGGGTTAGAGGACCAGGTGGGCCAGGTTTGGGAGGAGTTTGTGATTGTAAAAGAGCTTATCTTGAGGGCGATAGAGAGCCTTTCAAGAGCTCTAGTGAGAAGGACAAGGTCAGAAACAGATACCAGGTGGTGTGAAGAAGGGGCTCTGGAAACCCAAGGAGAGGTAAGTGGGTGAGGAGGCAGGAGCAGGTATCCGCAGGAGGGCGCCAGAGGGAAGGCTTTCAGGGGTGAAGAGCTGGAACCAGAGGGCGCTGAAGACTGGACGGGGAGTGGCGAGAAGACTCCCAGAATTCCAGCTGCAGAAGGAAGAGTATATCCTTGATACAGGGGGAGGAAGGGACAGGGGGCTGGTGGTGAATCTAGGAGGACATGCTTGGTAAAAGGCGTCCCAACCCAGAGGGCACCCATCTCCCCACTTCACAGATGCACACATTAAGGACAAGGGGCTGAGGAGGCACTGAGGTTATTGGGTGACACAAAAGGTTTGGGATCCACTCAGTTTCACCGTGCACCACGGAAGAAAGGCCCGGCTGTTTGCAGCTGTAAAGGCAGGAGCCCAGAAAACCCTTAAGGAGCTCATTTTATTTTGAGACAGCCTCTGTGTCCACGAGTGTGAATGATTCTGGCTAGATGGCAACTGATTGGCTCCATGGTTGGTTTTTCTTTTCTCTCTCTCTCTCTCTCTTTTTTTTAAAGAAATCCAGGCATCTCCTCTCACCTCTCAGGAGGTAGCTGGAGTTTGTCCCGTGGCCAGAAAGGCGAGAGGGGAAAGATGGCGTCAGGCCCATCCCACCCAGGTAGAGACCATGACCAGAGAAGGGTTGTGGGGTGGAATGGAATCCTTGATGGACAGAAGACGCACCAAGTGGTCTGCGAGGTTGGGCTTTGGTGGGGAAAGGCAGGAATGGGCGAGAAGAGCGGGTGGTTACTGGATCCTCTGAGAGGGAAGAATCCCAGGCGGGGAGTCGAGGGTGGGGGAAAAGATGGAGCGGAAGGGTAAGGAAGGCGCACCCCTCTTCGCCCCCGACCTATCCAAGATGGTCTGCACTTAGGGGGCTCCTTCTTCAAGCAGCATCTGGGACCACTGAACCCCCATTCCCGATTTCCGTCTCGGAGATCCCCTCTTGGCCCTCCCTGCCCCCTCCCTTGCTGCTTTCAGGAGTGGGTCGAATGAATGAGTGCGAGTGGCGCGTGCGGCGCGCACAGGGAGCAGGCTTCGAAGCGGAATGGAGCGCCCAGGCGGCCACGGCGCAAATCGGGGGCGTAGGGCCCAGACCCTCGTTGCGCTCAACTCCGCCCTCACCTGCGGGTCCTGCCCGAGTGTGCGCCTCACAGCCCAGCGCCCCAGCCGAGCCCCAGGCGGGCACCCGGGTCCCGCGCCCCACTCCAGGGCGAAGAGGGGAGGGGGCTGGGCCTGGGGCTGCGGCTGCAAACAAAGGAGTCCCCACCTCCT